AGAATTATTAATTTGTTATTTAATCAATTAATAATGAATGTACAAACGAAGAAAATATGTAATTCATGATGTACAAACAATTTCCTATCGAATTGACCATTTATTTAACCCAATTGAGCAATTTTTCATTTTATTCCAGTCAGCATCATGGCAAAAATTGAATAATTATTTATAATTAATGAGTGAATGTACAAACAAAAAAAAATCTAGTACAATCATGTACTAACGATGTACAGTCGAATACATAAGATAGTTTTCCTAATTATTGCACCCTTTCGGCTAAGTACATGGGGGTAAAAAAATCTAGTGTACTTTGTCCCCTGAACATTGGCTCAATTCGCGATGACAAAAGTGACATCAGCGCTGCAACCAAAAAAACGGGAGAATTTGGAAGTACTCTAAGGTGAAACAACCAACGTCATGTCTTAGCTTGTAGCTAACTTCATATCAAAATAAAAGTGTGCAACAGTTCCACTTGCAAAAAAATGAATTCAATTAATTATAAAAAAAATGATAGAAAAGTTTGCTGCGTGCCACATTGTAAAATAAAAGATAAATCTAATCTGAGTTTTCATTTGTTTCCATCTGATGTGGTTTCGCGAAATAAGTGGATGGAAATTTTAAAAATTGATAGGCCTCATGATCGAGAGATGAGAGTTTGCAGTCTGCATTTTTCCACTGATGATTACATCAAACGTGGTGAGTATTGATAATTATACGACATTGAGGTCATTTATAAATATGAGTATGGATTGGTCAATATTAAATATCAATGATAATATTATAACGTTCGAATATGAACATTGAATTAAGCTGCACCTGAGAGTTCTGAGCCACATAGGAAAAGATTGAAAACTGGAGTATTACCATCATTCCATCAACCCGCAGTGAAAACAATAACAAATTTAAACAAAGACAGAGGACATCTTAACTATGGTATAAAAATGTATCCTTTTAAAAAAAATTAAATAATTTGGCATTCTTGTTGTCAGTTTATAACTACTGCAACTTGATTCACAGAATTACATACAGAAGATTATCCAGAAAGAGGGGAACAATCGACGTGCGAAGCTAGTGTTGCTAACCAGTGTGTTTCTACTTCATGCGATGCAGATGTTCAGGTTGATGTCCAAGTCGTCAAGTTCGATGCAGCAATCCAATTGCACAGGATAACTCGTGATGTAGCAGTACAAGTGGGAAATAATATGTTGGATGCAATAACTCAAACTAGCATTCCACAAATGCACGTAGACAAGGGTATGCAAACAGATAGTTCATTGGTGGACGCAATTATTCAGAATGAGACAGATCTCAGTGCATTCACTGGTTTGACATCTTTTGCATTATTAACGTCTCTAGTAATCTGTGTCACAGAATTGAAAAAGACAATGGGTCAGAATCTAAATGATCGCCTTGATGTTAGAAAAAAAATACTCTTAACATTTATAAAATTGAAATGGAATCTATCATATGTTGCATTATCTGGAATTTTTAAAGTTTCACGACAAACCTGTAAAAATTATTTTAATTCCACTTTAAGAAATTTATCAGATGTTTTCTCACCGGTTGTAAGGTGGCCCCAAAAAGAAGAAATACTAGAGAACATTCCACGGTGCTTCCAAAAATACTACAGTACCAGAGTGGTTCTTGATTGTACAGAAATCCCCGTCGCAAAGTCAAAATGTCTAAAATGTCGTTTTATGACGTATTCACATTATAAAGGAACTCATACTGTCAAATTCATGATCGGGGTTACCCCCTCAGGGCTCATATCATTCTTGAGTAAATCTTTTGGTGGCCGAGCATCCGATAAACAAATTTTTTCAAAATCAGGAATCCTAGAATTAATGATCCCAAACGTTGACAGCGTGATGGTTGATAAAGGATTTTTGATAGACGTGGAATGTGCTCGGTATGGAGTTAAAATGATACGGCCCCCATTTTTGAGGAAAAATAAACAATTTACTAAGGCAGAAGCGGAAGCAACTGCACGAATAGCGGCTACACGGGTGCATGTTGAAAGGACAATTCAGAGAATAAAAATATTCAAGATATTGCAAGGAATTCTTCCGCATCATTTAGTTAAGATTTCCAGTAAGATAATGACCGTCATCTGCGGAGTAACAAATCTGGGCAACCCAATTCTTGCTGAGGATAAGTTCTAATTAATTTTTGATGACCTCATCTTATCAAATATATTTAATGCCATAACAAATATATAATAACTCATTAATTCAGAGGAAAATATGAAATTTTCTATAGCTCAACATTAAATGTTTAACTTTTTCAATTTTTTTTTCTGAATTTCTCCGTTTCGAAAATCTTGGTGAGATAATCTGTAAACTCATTTTGGACTTATATCCAGTTCAATTTTATTCCCTTTATAAATGTATAAAACGGAAAAAATAAAGATTTTCAAAAGATGACCTACTTTCTCATCATTGAACTTCCAAACAAAAATTTGTCATAATCTTTCCTTCATCACTGTATTAAATGATTGAATGACGTTTCAAAGCGTCGGAACCGCCGAAGAATTAAACCGCCAAAGGACCAAATGTCCCAAGGGTCAAACGACAGGAGGATCAAAGGGTTAGAAAGATCGAATGTCAGAAGGATCAACCGTCTGAAGGATCAAACATTCGAAGGGTCAAACGTTTGATTCTGCTGACGTTTGAACCTCCGGGCGTTTGATCTTTTTACGTTTGAGCCTTTGGATGTTTGGTCCTTCTGACATTCGATCCTCCTGACGTTTAATCCGTCCAACGGTTAACCTTGCGGACGTTTGATTCATCTGGAATTATATTCACGTTCTTAATCTGATACCAAACAATATCGGAATGATTGAGATCTACCCTCCGAAGACGTCACATAACAGCCGGCTAATATTCCTTCTTCATAATCTCAAGGTTATTCGAATATGAA